GTCTCCCCCTGGCCAAGGATGAGCTCCTGCGGGACAGGGGTGGCCCCACTGCCTCCCTGCCGTGCCCTTCAGGTCTCCATGGATCTTCCTGACACAGGCACGTGAGAGCCCCAGGTCAGGAGGAGGTGGCAGGGACACTGCCTTGGGAGAGAGAGTCCTTCCTGAGTGCATCCTCGCTCCCAGGTGGGCGCTCATTCACAGCGGAGACTGGCCTTGGAGGGGAGGCCAGCCACGGCTGTCACAGGAAGGGGCCCCCGCCCGGAATCTCTGACCTCCCAATGTAGAACAGAGCGCAGCCTTCAAGCTGGAGGAGGCTCTCCAGATGGACTCTTGCAGCCGGCCCATGTCACAGACAGGGACACTGAGGCCGAGGAGGAGGGGTCGGGGAGGGGCCAGGTCCGCTGCTGGCCCTGAGGCTGCAGAGCCAGCCCTGAGTCCAGGTCTGAGGCCGGCCCGTGCCCAGCACACAGCAGATCCCAGGGACAGACAGAGCCTGGGGCAGCCCTTCTGCGGGCAGGACCGGAGCCGCAGAGGACAAGGAGCTGGGAGGGCCGGGCTGGGGGGACCATGGAGGGCTTGCCTGAGGCAGTCATGTCCCCACAGCACCCCAAACTTGGCCTGTCTCAAACCAACAGGTGGGCTCCCTCCCAAAGCTGGCCGTCCCTGAGGTCTCACCATTGAGGCCTGTGGCTTCCACCTCCTGACCCATTTGCCACCTCTGTCACATGCCCGCCACTGCAGGCTGCTGCCATCCTCCTCTGCTGTGACCACTTCTCTTCTCAACCCCTTCTTCCTCCAAAGAGCAGCTATCTGATCCTAGCCTCACCCCCATGCTGAAAACTCTCCCATGGCTCCCACTGCCCTTGGGACAGAGGCCACAGCCCACATGGCCCTGCTCGGCCTGGCCCAGCTCTCTCCAGCCTCACATCAGACGCAGCTCCTCCTCATTGCCCTCACCTTCTCTCAGTCCTTCCTGCCTCCTCAGGGCCTTTGCACATGCTGTTCCCATCAGGCCTGGCTGATCCTCGGCCCCACAGTGCCTCCTCCCTCCCCATCCCACCCAGAGACCCACTCACTCCTGGGAAGTCTGGGTTCTGCTACCAGGCTCAGAGGGCCAGGCCCAGGGCACTCCCTCTGCCACCGAGGCCTGAAGCAGCCACCTGGACCGTGTGTTGTTCTTGTGCTCTGCCTGTGAGCAGCTGCTGTGGAGTGGGGTCCAGATTCAGTGCTAAAAATATCCATGACACAGACAGGAAGGGCCAAGGGGACACAGCAACTCCTGGGAGGGGCTGGCTGGAGGTGCAGTGGAGGCCCACCTACCTCGACTGGGGGTCCATGTACCGGAAAAGGTGGGCACTGAGAGCACAGCCCCCGAGGAAAGGCCCCTGACGGAGGATGCTCAGGGCCAGCAAGGGGCACCGTGTGTTGTCAGAGGAAAGCACAGCTGCCTCCAACACGCCCACACACCCTCGCCTTGTGTCTGAGTCTTCCGGTTTGTTCCCACAGGCATGTGCTGCCTTTGGGATAAAATCCACTCAGAAATTCAGTACGTGGGGGCCCTAACAGCAGACAGGGGAGCTCTGGTCCCCTCAGGGAGGGCTTCCTCGAGTAGGGGGCGTTTCCACCACCCTCCCTTCCTCTGCTCTTTAACAGAACATCTGGGCTGGTAGGGAGGAAAATGAATGGAGGAAGGAGCCAGAGATTCGGGGCACCCCCAGAAGAGAGAGTCTGAGGCCTGAGAAAGAGGTGGTGGTGGTGGTGAGGCGTGGGGGAGGGGAGGGAGAGGACTGGAAAGTTCCGGGGGAGCATCAGGTGTCATGTGGGGCTGCAGAGAGCTGGGCATGGATGACCCCAGCTGTCTGGGTGTCCCCAGGGGCTGGTGAGGGCCTCTCCTAGTGTCTGAGGCCTGTGAGGGAAAGGCAGGCCTGGGGGCACACAGGGCTGCTGTCCTGCCTATGGCACTGGGAGAGCCTGGATAGAAGGTTTAGGGGACCCCTCATTTCCCCAGAGCTAGGGATCCCGGGGCTCCTTGCTCTGCTGCAGGCAGGGTCACCAGACCAGAGAGGCAGCTTGGGGAGCAGGGCCCATCGTCACCTTGCCAAGGGACCACAGGTCCTCCTTCTGCCACAGTCCTCAGCACAGGAGAGAGAAGGCGGGCCTAGCTGGCAGGACAGCCACCTGCTGCCTGGGAGAGAGCTCCCCAGATGTGAGCATCTAGCACACTGCCTGTCTGCATCTCCAGGCCATGGACGTGCCGTGCCCGGGGCTTCTCTCCATAAAGAACTGTCTGGAGATGCCTGAGGGTCAGATGAGAAGTGGACCTGGTGTCTCCAGAGTGGCCTGTCCTGGGCCTGAGACTGGACAGGAAAAGCCTGGACTGGTGTTGGAGGTCTGCCCCGGCCCTGCTCTGCCTCCTCCTGGGCCTCAGCTTCCCCATCTGAGGGTCCCAGGGCTCTGAGAAGGGGGTATCCGTAGTAGACTTCAGCCATTGCTCCCCTGGATATCCCACCCGGACAGCTGCCCCACCCTGGGCTCCCAGCCTCCCAGGAATGTGCTTCTCCGCCCCGAAACCTGCCCTATGGGCCCCAGTAGAAGTGGAGACAGAGGCCCCTGTGGACCACGACAGCCTCCTGTCAGCCCTGCCCTGACCCTGAGTGGAGGCCCAGCCAGCGCCTGCTGAGTGCTGGAGGCAGGGACACCTGCCCTGCCCCAGGCCGACAGGCAGCCGGGCCTCCCTGCTGGCTCCTCCCTGCCCTGCAGGCACCTGCCCAGCTCTCAGCCCTGCATCCCTGCCTGCTGCCACACCTCCACCTGGCTGGGATCTACTCTGTACTGCCCACCTCAGACTTGACCTTGGGCTGCTTCCCTGGAAAATGGAGGCTGTCAAGGGGGTCCCTCAGCCTGCTCCCACCGCCCCCTCTCAGCATCTTGGGCCAGCTTCTGCTGACCTCTCCTCACTCCTGAACCACACACACATCCCCCTTCAGTGCTCCCAGCCTCTCCCCACTCCCCTCCCCTCCAGAACGGGGGCTCTATGAGCCACTCCCCAGGAGGCCCTCTTAGGGCCCTCATAGGGCCCTCATTTCCATGGGATCTACCTGAGATAAGCTTCTCAGCTGGTTCTCCCCCAGTCCAGTCTCCTCAGGGGACCTCAGGGCCCTGTCCGAGGCATCCTTCATCTTCCACACTTACATCCAAGGCTGAGCTCCCCATGGTGGGAAAGGCACATCCATCTGGGCACCTTCCTCTCCCTCATGCCTTGTCACTATCCTGGTCACCAGGGACCTTGGCATGGCTGCACCCCACAGTCCTTCCCAGGCCACGTCTGCAGGGGCTTCTCCCTGCCTTCCTCCGGAGGCCCTTTCCTGGCTCAGCTCCTGCCCCATATCCAGCCTTCCCAGGTCTCCCTGGCTGGGTCTCCCTTCCCTCTCTGACCGCTGAAGGTCAAGCTGCCCAGGCCCGGCCTCTTCTCTTCTCCATCTAGCCTCGCCCCTTGGGCATCTCACGCAGGCCCAAGGCCAAAATGCCACTGGTCTGCTGATGACTGACACCCACATTTGCACAGCCTGCCTGACCTCTACCACCACACCACCCTTGGATTTTTCCAGGCACATGTCACACAGGTGCCCAAACTCAATGAGGCCAGAACAGGACCCTTCACCCACCCGCCTTTTCCCCAAGCATTCTCCATGTCAGTAAAGGCCACTGCCTTCCATCCACTCTGTGGCTCAGGCCTCGATGTCACTCTTGACTCCAACCTCACAGCTCTGTCCGGTGTGCCAGCAAACCCACATCCCACTCCTCCTTGTCCTCCAGGTTCCATACTGCCCAAGCCACCAATGTCCCTTGCAGCCTCCCCCTGCTCACTGATTCCTCTGGTTATCTACTGTTCTCACAGCAGCCACAGGGATCTTTTTAAAGTGACAATCGAGCGTCACCTCTTCGCAGAGGCTTCCCAGATCAGCCCATCTAGCATGGGGCCGGCTACCGGATCCTCCACCCCCCACGTGGCTAATTCCGTCAGCGCAGAGTCCTGTCTACACTAGCTACCATGTTAGCACGGGCCTCTGACTGCCTGTCTCCTCGGCTCCACCGTGAGGGATAGCGTCTCTGTTGGCTGTTGTGTCTCCAGTATTCAGAACGGTGCCCGCACACAGTCGGTGCTCAATAAACGGTGGACTTTCTTCATTAGAATGAATAAATGGAGTTTCTCTTTCCACCAAGATAATGAGGCGTCTCTAACCCGTCCAGTTGCTCCAGCCGTCTCAGCAGCCTCGCGTCCCCCAGAGGGCTCAAGTCCCCAGCGCAGCCCCTCCTCGAGGACTCCCAGGAAGACTCCTGCTGGAGCCGCGTGATCCAGTGGAGCCCTGGACGTGCGGGAACTGAGACACGCTGCGGAGCGCCTCCTTTGCTGTAGGTCAGGTGGCACTGTCTCAGGTTCTCAGAGGGAAGAGGGACGGGCCCAGAGTCGCCAGAAGCCCCAGGGGGACAACAGAGCCACGCAGCCAGGCTCTGAGTCCAGCCAGCCCCGACCACGCCCCCGTGTGGCCCCGCCCCTCCAGTCTCTGGGCCCGGATCCCATCTTTTCTCCAGTAACAAGTAGCCCCGCCCCTGTGGTGGCCCTTCCTATTGGTCCTCTCCAGCTTGCCGTGAGGAGACCAGGTCCTGATTGGCCACACGTTCTCCCGCCGCGCCACCACAGCCGCCACAACAACTGCCACGTGCTCAATCGCTGGGCCTGCTCATTGGCCCGACTCTCCCCCGGCCCACACCCCCGTCTCGCCCCCGGCGCCCCACTTCCTCCCCGTATTGGCTACCTGGCTCAAGGCCCCGACCCCTAGCCTAGGATGGGGTCGCCACGGTTACAGCAGGGGTGGGAGTCGCCATGGTTACAGCTGGGGAGCAGGGGCAAGGCTGGCCCTGGTTACAGCCCAGGGCTGGGGGTCGTCATGGTTACAGCCCAGGGGCGGGGGTCGCCGTGGTTGGTTACAGGTGGGGGGCGGGGGAATGGGGTGACCATGGTTACAGCGGTGGGGAAGTCGCCATGGCTACGGAGGCTCGCCGGCAGCGCCTAACGCGCCCCTGGTTCCGCAGCAGCTGGAGCTTCTCAGCCCCTTCCAGCTCTACTTCAACCCGCACCTCGTGCTCCGGAAGTTCCAGGTGAGGCCGCCCCGCCCCCGCCCCTGCCCCTGCCTCCCCGCCCGCCCGCCAGGCCTGACCGCCCGCGCTCCCCTCGCAGGTCTGGAGGCTCGTCACCAACTTCCTCTTCTTCGGGCCCCTGGGATTCAGCTTCTTCTTCAACATGCTCTTCGTGTATCCTCCCCGCGCGCAGCGGGCCGGGGCGGGGAGGGGAGGGGGCGGGCCGGCCGGGCAGGAGGCGGCCGGAGCGGGGAGACTGAGGCCGGCCCGGTGGCCCTTCCTATACGGACGCCCAGCTTCCGCTACTGCCGCATGCTGGAGGAGGGTTCCTTCCGCGGCCGCAAGGCCGACTTCGTCTTCATGTTTCTCTTCGGGGGCGTCCTCATGACCGTATCCTTCAGGCCTCTGCGTCCAGCCTGTGTTGCCCTGGGGCCCCACCTGAGCGCCTGGCCCGGGGAGGGACTGAGCGGGTCACCCCAGATTAGGATGCACTGAGCGTGCAGTGTGTGCTGAGCTCCAGGTGCCAGGGCTACACCTCCAGTGTGCACACAGAGTGCCAATCAGGAATGCAGGCGAGCCAGGTGGGGTGCCTGGGGGCTGAGCCCTGATGCCAGGAGCAGGAGAAACTGGGGCAGGGATGGGCTGTCATTGGAGGCTGGGGTGAGGTGGAGATGCGAAGCAGATCCCCTGTGGCCCTGACTGGAAGGGAACACTGGATAGGGAAGGGAAACCAGTGGGAGGAGTGCATGGGTTGAGGAGTCAGGGCCCTGGGCAGGGCTGAGGCCTGCACCGCCGGAGGGCCTCCCCTCACCTTGACTCTGGCCCAGCTGCTGGGGCTCCTGGGCAGCCTGTTCTTCCTGGGCCAGGCCCTCACCGCCATGCTGGTGTACGTCTGGAGCCGCCGCAGCCCTCGGGTGAGGGTCAACTTCTTCCACCTCCTCACCTTCCAGGCGCCATTCCTGCCCTGGGCGCTCATGGGCTTCTCCCTGTTGCTGGGCAACTCTATCCTCGTGGACCTGCTGGGTGAGCCTGCCTGTCCACCTAGCCCATCCCAAGCTGGCTGTCTGGCACCCGAGGGTCTGTGGGAGGGCCACCCAGGCTGGCTGCTCCCCCCACAGCCCTCCTTCTCACCTGCACCTGACCTCTCACTTACCCCACCCCCCAGCCTTGCCCTCCCAGCTTCTTGCTTCTCACAGCCCCTGGAACATGCCAGCCGGCCTGTAGGTTTCACATCTTCAGGCCTGACCTACTGGTGCTTGTGTGGGTCCTGACTGGGGTGGGGAGGAGTGGGTCAAGGTCCCAGCCACGGCTCCTCCTCCTTGGATGTCCTCAGGCCCTCCACTCCCCTGGTCCTGCCCCCTTCTGGGCCCTGTAAGCCTGTCCTTTGGGGCAAACCCCGGCCCTACCCCTGGTCTGGCAGTGTGTCCAGGACTTTGAGCACTCTGGCTCTGGAGCCCGAGGGTGCTCTGGGCCTGGCTGGGCCTCCAGGGCTTTGCATGGAGGCCTGGGGCAGGCTCTGCTGGCCCTGGGCTCTGGCCCGTGGAGGGTGGCCTTGGCATTCCCCGGTTCTCCCCAGGGATTGCTGTGGGCCACATCTACTAATTCCTGGAGGATGTCTTCCCCAACCAGCCTGGAGGCAAGAGGCTGCTACACACCCCCAGCTTCCTGTGAGTGTGGGGTGACAACCTGCCCCCTCCACTCCCTCAGAGGGCTCCCTGCCCCATGGAGGGCCCCAGCTGGCCTCAGCTAAGCGAGCACCCCTCCCCACAGAAAGCTGCTACTGGATGCCCCAGAGGAAGACCCCGATTACCTGCCCCTCCCTGAGGAGCAGCCAGGACCCCCGCAGCAATGACCCCACCCACGGCCAGGGCCAGCCCCAGGGCCTGTTTCCCGGCCTCCGGCAGGCCTCCCTCCCACCTCTCCCTTCTGCTGCAGCAGAGCAGTCTGTTCTGGAGACCAGGCCCGTGCCCAGGGCTCACCCGAATAAACAGAGTGACCTGTGGTCTCTTCGCCCCAAGCACTGCTCCCCCCCACCCCCCCCACCACCTCCCCGCCTCAGTGGCCACACCCTGCCACACTGGGCAAGTGCTGCTGGCTGTGACCTAGGGCCACCAAGCCTAGTCCTGCCATGCCCATCCTCTGCCCTTGGCGTGGGGCTGGCCCAGGACACAGCTCTACTCCCGCCAAGCCTGGCCTACCCTGTCAGACTAATGGTAGGTGGAAGGATGGGAGGCCCAGAGAGGCTCAAGAACCTGTCCACGTTGCCCAGCAGAGCTTTGAGCTCACAACGGCAGATAGAGAGTTCTCATCTCAGCCCTGCCAGTGCCTTGCTGGAGCCTTGGGGAAACCCACCCGACCCCGCCCATGCTGGGCCTCTGCTCCCTGCCAGTCAGCGAGGGGCTGACCACATCTCAGTGGCGGGGGCAGGGATTGGGCTGTCCCCGTCTGTGCTGAGCCCGGTCTGCAGGGGATCCTGTCTGTGGTGCCCTCAGGCTGATGCCTCACTTGGCCCCTCCTGTCCCTCACCAGCCACCGACAAGTGGACCTTTGCCCCATTTTCCAGCTGAGCATCAAGCAGACTTGGCCAAGGCCCCATGGGGTCAGGTGCAGAGGAAGCCCAGGACCGGGTCCTCTGACCCTTCTGTGACCCCAAAGCCTTGAGAAGTTTTCCCCTCATCAGAGTCCTGTGACTGGCAGGGGCAGAGACCTCTGGGAAGTTCTGTCCCTGCCGATTTTAGCTAAGGACCATGGGAGCCTCATCTGACCGCACAGCTCACTGTTCTCTTCTGTAAAGTGGGCATCAGATGATCTGGCCAGCTCTCCTCCTTGTCCTGGACCAGTCCAGTTACGGTTTATCCCTGGATGGTCAGCAGCACAGGGCTCCTCCAGCCAAGGTTGTCGTGTTCGTGGATGATGAAAGCATTAGCCAGAGTCTGACCTTAGTTTTGTAGTGACACCTTGTGGAGCAGCAGCAGGCTCTGCAGTGGTGAGGGCCCAGCCCCAGGGACTGGTGTGCTGGCCCTTCCCCAGGCCTCTCCCAGCAGGTGGGCCGGCCCGCCCAGTGGGGCTGAGGCAGGCAGGATTCGTTCCATCCCACCAGCTGTGGGGGCCCAGGGCTGTCTCCTGCCCAGTGGACTGAGTACACACCTCAGCAATGGAGCCTGCCCATTTCCAGGGTCAGCTGGGTCTGGGCCTGGAATCTTCCCCTTTGTTCAGGTCCTTGCACTGAAGCCCAGCTGTCCCCTTGCTATGGGGTTCCAGGAAGTTCCACTCCTGGACGAAGATCAGGTGTTTGAGTACAAACTCCCTGGGAGCTGTCGCATCCTAGGATGTGCTCCAAGGAGCTCCCAGCCCAGAGGGCAGGCCCATCTCACCCTATATCCTGGCAACCAGGATCCCCAGTCCCTACTCAGAGCTCGGCCCCTGCCCAGCGTGGGGCTTGGGCTGGGAGCCAGGAGTCACAGGGCCCCTGCCCCTTCCTGGGGAGCAGTGCAGTCCTGACCCTCAGCCCTGCCCTGGCAGGAAAGGACTTGCCAGCAAGTGAAGGTGGTGCCAGCCCGGTGCTGGGGGTCTGGGCCAAGTACCTCAGTAAGATTGCGGCTGTGTGCCCAGTTCACCAAGTCAGGCTTGGCACAGTGGGGAGACCCACAGGTGCTGTCCTCTTGGATCCATGTCCCTCCTGTAGAAGGGCACATTTCCATGCAAGAGACAAGGATGCAGAGGGGACAGCAAGCTCCTCAGAGACGCAGCTGGGAAGAGGCCAGAGCTGTGCCTCCTTGTCTGCACCACACCCCACCCCCCGAGCCAGCACTGGGCTGAGCGCACTGCACCCCGGGTGTCATTCCTCACAGCCTGCCCAGGAGGGAGGAGCTGGCCTGGGCCACGGCCCCAGGCAGCGGGGAGATGGGCCCCAGTCCGCCTATTCCAAGTGTGCTGCTGGGAGGCGTGAGAGAGTGGTACACACCAGCTGGGTGCCCGAGGGCCGGACTAGCTACTCCAGCTGCTGGAATGCAGGCTGGTGACATCCCCACAATGCCCTTACTGGACAGGACCTCTGCAAGGGACTCCAGAGAAGCAGCAATCCCGGCCGGGGGCGGCCTGACCAGGTGGATGCAGCAGAGCCCAGGGACAGCAGGGGAGCCTGTGGCTGCTTCCTGAGGCAGCCAAGGGGGCAGGGTGGGGCTGTCACTGGAAGGCAGATGGCCCCCGCCCTTGGAGCCTCACGACCACACTTCTCATTTCTCCCTCTGTGCGGGGATGTGTGGAGCACAGGTTGTGGGTGGGAAGCTGGAGGGCCCAAGGAAGAGCAAGGACTGTGCTCTGCCTCAGGCCTTGGGGGGCTGTGTGGGGGGCCCTGGAGCCCCATCACTCCCACCTGCCTACCTGGGATCGGAGGCACAGAAGGGCAAGAGGCCTGGCACGCCAGCCTTGGCCACCCCCCACCCCCAGCCTGGCCCTGCTCCTTGCTCTCTCCGTTCTGATTTTTATGCTACCCCTGGGAAGACATGGAACATGACCTGTTGCCTTTATTGACAAAGTGTCGCTAACCCTGCCTGGGGCTCCTATACAAAAACAGAGCACAGCCCCAAATGAGGCCTCTTCCAGACCAGAGACTGGGGTGGTGGGGCCTGGGGTTCAGCAAGTGGAATGTGTGTCCAGGGGAGGGTGACCTGGACAGCCCCCCTGCCCCGTGCTCCTCAGGATGGCCTGGGCTGCCCCCTTGCCAGAAGATGAAGGAGAGGCAGACTGACCTGAATGCTCCGTGGGAGCTGAGCACCGATGGGCTGGTTTCCAGGCGGGGGCAGTGTTGGCCAGACGACTCATCCACCTGCAGGAGGGGAAAGGGCAGTGACCCAAGGCCAGTTGCCTGCTCTGGGCAGCTGCCCTCCCCCAGGGATCTCTAGGGCAGCCAGGTGCAGGAGGAGGGACAGAGACAGGTCGTGGGTGGTGGGATCCCCACCCAGCCCCTCCCTAGGCCTGGGCCTGTCTGCTGCTTGGGGCCTGAAGCTGCCTTCTCTCCTGCCTGCTCAGGCCCCGCCCATCTCTCCAGGTCCTGACACAGGGTCTGGGCTGTGGTCAGACGCGACCTGAGGGCTTGCCTTTGTTCTCTGCAGGGAAACGCACCTGGGGGCTGGATGGGGACTCCTCACCCAGGGCCCTGCCTCTGGCAGCACAGGTCCCCGCCCCTGCCTGGGACACAGTGCCTGTGGGCAGAGCCAGCTGCAGGGGGTACCTTGTGTTCCTGCCCTGGTCACGGATCTTCTTTTCCATCTCAGTGTCCGTCAGGGTCTCCAGCAGCGGACATCACTGGTCAGCATCGCCTGCGTTCTGGATGGCGATCTCCACCGTGGGCAGGGGGTTCCCACTGTGGGGCGGAGAGAGGAGGCCCTGCTGGTTCACAGGGCGGCAGCTGGAAAGGCCCTCAGAAACCGCTGTCCACCCCCACCCCGCCCCCAGCAGATGGAACAGCGGAGCCAGGGCAGGGTGGAAAGGCCCCGACCTTTCCTGCTTCCTCCGCCTCCTCCCCTGGGCCCATTTCTGTGCACAGCTCCTCAGAGGAGCCCTACTGAGAGGGGTGGCTGGGGATGCTCCTGTCACCTGAAGCTCAAGGCAGAGCTGCCAGAGCCGCCAGGACCTCCCCTGGCAACAACAGTGCTGCCCCAGGGCCCCAGGCTTCTCTTCCAAGCAGGCCCTCAATGGGCCCTTTGCTGCCACCTCAGCATCTCTGGGTCTGCGGGACTCATGAGGGGCGTTCCCTGTGGGGGTGTTTCCCTTGAGAGGACGGTGTCACTGGGCCAGCCGTCCCCACTGGACCTGGGGCAGGGGAGGGCTGTCTGCCCCGCTTGGTGTTCAGGGCCAGGACCCACCGATCAGGAAACAGACAGAGGTGAAAGGAGAGCAAGAGGAGGGTCCACCTGAGAGCCCTGGACGTCCCCTCGCTGAGGGCCGCGGGGTGGCTGGCTGCTCCTGAAGGTTCCACACACTTGCCCCTCCGCCCACGTCATGGGGGCCGACCTAAGCCCCAGAGAGGCTGGGCTCTTTGCTTAGGGCACAGAGCTGGGCCCTGGAACTCTCGTCCCCAACCACTCCGCCCTGGAGTCCCTCAGTGACTGCCCCGAGGGCCACCTGCGCATCCTCTTGCCCAGTGGACACAGCGGTGGGGGTGGGGTCAGCCTGGGTGAAGACTGTGAAGCCGGGGGTTGGGGGGAGAGGGGTGGAGGGCTGAGCTGCCTCTTCTCCAGGCCTTGGTTCCAAGTGTGGAGACAGGAGGCCAAAGAGATCTGGAGGCCACAGCCACCAGGAGAGCCCACGCGCCCCTCACCTTCAAGGCTGACCCCCAAACCCCTGGCCTGGCAGGCACCCCTCAGAGTGGGGCCCTAACCGTGATGCTCTCCCACCCCTTCCCCCTGTCCACTCTCTGGCCTCCCCGGGCCCTTTTCTCTCTGCTCCAGCTGGCGGCCTGCTCCTCTCCTGAGGCTCAGCCCCCAGAAGGCCTGCCCTGCTCTCCCGCAGCCCTGTCAGGAGTCTGCTCCCCGCAGCCTGGAGCCCGCCTGGCCCGTGAA